ACTTTCAGCACCACTTTCCCTTTCTATCTGGTGTTTTAAAGCAGAACTAGAATTCGCAGTCTCTCAGGTTTCTAGCGCAGTAAATCTAACTACTTCCTTAAACTGGCTTTCACTTCCGTACTTTCCATTAATTTCAGCAAATTTTTGCAGTACTTTTAACACATTTGCTCATTTAAAACTTTGGGAAATTTCAAATGTGATTACAGTATAATGGCAACTTTTTCTGCAGTCCTAAATAAAGCACATTAACAAGTCAAGACAGTTCTGTAGTCCAGATCTCTGTTGTTTTACTGTGCTAAAATCATACTTAATGTTTGCATGGCAATTGTACGAATAAATTAAATAATTTCTGGGTCATGGTATCCTGTTCCCTGGAGGATATAGGGATAATAGTACCAATAGTACCAGTATTGCCTTTGCGGTTCGTTTTCTTTTTAGCGCTGTATTAATTTTTATCCAGCGAGCCTTCTCAGTAGACTGGTTTTTTAAATTATATTATTATTTGTAAATGCTTTCCTTGTTACGGCCATTTAATGGGATTTATGGAACGAGATTTCCGAAAACGGCAACCAAACTGCTTTAATAAACAGAATAGCTCCGGCCGTGCTTCGAAACATCCAATTCTTCCAGGAAATTACCTATGACGAGTGGCTGGATTTTATCCCCGGCGCGGTGTTTTCTATTTTCCATGTGTTTTATATTCCTCCTGTTTTATAGCCTGTTTTATTCTTTTTGTAAGCCCCCACCAGAGTAGCTTGGCGAGGCGGCGGCCTTGAGGAACGAATTTGAATGGATTCCGGATAAAAACGCTTTGCTTTTTGGACGGGGTTCCCAGATGAGAGAAGGCAGACTCGGATCCTTTCCGCGATCCACTAAGCCCGTGTTTCTCAGCTTCAACAACCCAGATGGGTGAACATCAACTTCCAGAATTTCCTCGCCAGCACTGGGTGGAGAAATGATCTGGCTGGCGGGTGGGGAGTTCTGGGAGTTGAAGTCCACACATCTTAACATTTCTGAGGCTGAGAAACGCTTCCCGCCCAGACGAACACGCGCCCGCGCTCGCTGGGAAAAGAGAGACGAAACGACACCCATCCCACAAGTTTTTTCCCGCCTAAGTTAAAAAAAGGAGTCGAAGCTGCGTCCATTGCAGAGCCTAAACAGAAAACCAGCTGAGGCCAATGCCCCCCCGCCCCCGCCGCCATCTCGTTCGACTGTCAAACGCAAAGGTCCCACGTGATCAGAGCATTTTTGCGCGGGTTGAGGCCGGCGGAGAAACTGGGGCCTTCCACAAAAACCGTCAATGAGAGCGTGGAGGGGGTGTGTGAAACAAAGAGTTGGTATTCCTGCTTCAACCAATGGGGTGGAAGTTCTTCCAGTTCGGACCATTACCGCTCAAGAAATCGATGAGTGATTGGCCGTTCATCCAACGGCCTGTGAAAGTAGCTTTGGGAGGCGAGATTTCCGTTTCCGGTGCTTGCAAGCGCTTCAGATTCTACGCTTTTCTTCACCGACAGGTCCTTTGTGCAATGAAGGCGATGGGCTCCGATTAAACTGCCCAATGCCTGCCCAGTGGGCGGAGTTCCAGCCCGCCGGAGGTTCCAAGATGGCGGCGGGTGCGTGAGGCGTGATACTCCGCGCGCGATTCCCTCTTGCTGGCGCTTGCCGCCATGAAGACCAAGGAGCGCTCGCCTGCCAAGGCCAAACGGTCCCGCGGTGGCGAGGATTCTTCTTCGGCGCGGACCGAGCGGAGCAGTAAGAAGCCCAGCAACGGCGGTGGGAAATCTGCGGGCGGCGGCTCGGGCGAGGGCGGTGGCGGCAGTAGTCGGCGGAGCCTTCATCTGGAAAAAGCGAACCGGGCCAGCAGCCGTGAATATGAAACGACCGCGGTGGGAGGCTCTGGGAGCGGCCGCCACGGCTACAGCGGGAGCAACAGCAGCGGCAAAAACGCGGAGTCTTCCTCCTCGCGTGGCAGCAGCGGCCGCGGCGTCGATTCCCGCGCGCCGCCCTCCGACTCGGCCGGCAGCAGTGAGTACAAGACGCTAAAGATCAGCGAGCTGGGCTCGGCGCTGAGCGACGAGGCGATCGAAGACGGCCTCTTCCACGAGTTCAAGCGCTTCGGAGACGTCAGCGTCAAGATCAGCCGCCTGCCCCCGGGCAGCGGGTCCGGCGACGAGCGGGTGGCCTTTGTCAATTTCCGCCGCCCTGAGGATGCCCGGGCTGCTAAGCATGCTCGCGGCCGCTTGGTCCTCTACCATCGGCCGCTGAAGATCGAGGCCGTTTATGTAGGGGGCAGCAGCGGAGGGGGAAGCAGCCGGCGACGCGGCAGTCGTTCCCCAGCGATTTTGGATAAGGAGTCTCCCTATGGGGCCTCAGCAGTGGGGGTGGCGGGGACATCTCCTGCCACTATCAGGCACCCTGCAACTAGCGCCACCCAGAGGGCCCTCTCTCCTGCTGGCGGTGGAGCAGGCTTAGGGTACAGAGACTTCCGATTGCAGCAGCTTGCCCTTGGGCGTCTGCCCCCGCCGCCTCTCCCCCGGGAGCTGGAAAGAGAACGAGACTACAGCGGTTTCTATGATCGGGTGAGGCCCGCGTACAGCCTGGATCGAGTGGCTGGAGTGGCGGCCGCTGCGTTTCGTGGCGTTGGTGCAGGCACGGCCACTGAAGAAGAGATTAGTCCTGAAGATGACCAGAGAGCTAACCGCACCCTGTTTCTGGGTAATTTGGATATATCGGTTACAGAGTCAGACCTTCGTAGGGCTTTTGATCGCTTTGGGGTTATCACTGAAGTGGATATTAAGAGGCCAAGCCGGGGTCAAACTAGTACGTATGGGTTTCTTAAGTTCGAGAACTTGGATATGGCCCATCGGGCTAAGCTTGCCATGTCTGGTAAAGTGCTGTTGCGCAATCCTATTAAAATTGGCTATGGTAAAGCAACCCCCACCACGAGACTCTGGGTGGGTGGTCTGGGACCCTGGGTACCATTGGCTGCTCTTGCCAGGGAGTTTGATCGCTTTGGTACTATTCGTACCATTGATTATCGTAAAGGTGACTCATGGGCCTACATCCAGTATGAGAGTTTGGATGCTGCACAAGCTGCTTGTACCCATATGCGTGGCTTTCCTTTGGGTGGGCCAGACCGTCGCCTGCGTGTGGACTTTGCCGACACTGAGCATCGGTATCAACAGCCCTATTTGCAGCCTTTGCCACTTCCACCCCCTGCTCACTATGAGCTGGTAGCAGAAACATCAGCTTTTGGAGCACATCGTGGAGCCCCACCAGATCCACTCCGAGGTGCTCGGGACAGAACACCACCACTGCTCTATGGTGACCGTGACAGAGACTTATATGCTGAAACAGAATGGGCACCTCCTCCACCTCCAGTTCGGGACCGAGGCAACCGAGCAACTGTGTATGATGCACTTGAAAGTCTGGAACGGCGTCGAGATGGTTGGTCTCTAGAAAGAACTCGTGGGGAAAGAGAGCTTGGTAGTAGTAGAGACCCACCTAGGAAGCGAAGGCTAGTGGAGGATGGGGGTCGACATTTGGACCGATCGCCAGATAGTGAACGTTCATCTTCATCTCGTAAGCGTCATTGCCCTGCTATAGCCTCTCCTCAAGATCGTAGTCCTGAAACAAGCTTAATCAGAGACCGCTATAATACTGATACTGATCGGCCCTCTTCTCGCTTACTCTTGTTGGATCGTCCTTCACCAATCAGAGAGCCACGTAAGGGGAGTTTGGAGAGAGGCCAGAGTGAGAAACGGGAACATAAGAGCCTGGTGGAGAAAGAAAGAAAACATCGCACACTTGCGTCAGCTGCCATCCAAGAGTGCAAGAGTCCAGCTAAAAAGGATGAGCATACTTCTGAAGGGAACAGTAGCAGTGGATCTCGGCTGAAGCCACCCCAAAAACAGCAACAGCAGGATGGAACCTCAAAGTCGGGATCATCTACCAAGCTCTGCCTAGCCTGGCAAGGAATGCTTCTGTTGAAGAACAGCAACTTCCCATCAAACATGCACCTACTTCAAGGTGACCTCAGCGTAGCTAGCAATCTGCTGGTGGAAGGAACAACTGGTGGCAAAGTGGCCCAACTAAAGATCACGCAGCGTCTTCGTTTGGACCAGCCCAAGTTGGATGAAGTTACCCGCCGTATCAAAGTAGCAGGACCCAATGGATATGCTATTCTCCTTGCTGTGCCTGGTACCACAGACAACCGAGCCTCATCTGGGGCTGGTGAAGCTAATACCACCTCTACCCAGCGGCCATTAAGAAACCTAGTGTCCTATCTTAAACAAAAACAGGCAGCTGGAGTGATAAGCCTCCCAGTAGGAGGCAACAAAGACAAAGAAAACAGTGGGGTCTTGCATGCTTTCCCCCCCTGTGATTTTTCTCAGCAGTTCCTGGATTCTACAGCAAAGGCCCTGGCTAAATCAGAGGATGACTTTTTGGTCATGATCATTGTTCGTGGTGCATCTTAAAATCCTAATGCTTTCTGTGCTTATCCTGCTTCATACAATTCCCCTTCTTCCAGTGTCTCCCAGGTGCTAAGCCTTAGCCAACACCCTAAGTATAATTTTAGATGTGTAGTTACTGTTATTTTCCCTTTATTTTCTACAAACTCTAGAGAGCAGATATACTAACTCTTCATTAGTCTACCCTCAACTGTCTTGCTAGTGAGAGTATAGCAAGAAGAGATGGCCTGCTTTCACTAAAATATGAAACATTGAACAAGCTTGCCTTCCTCTTCTTTTTGTTTTACTTTTTAACTTGTCCTTGTTCATTTCACAACTTTAAAGTAGGTATAAAATCTTGTCCCTTGCTTACATTCTAAATTGCCATACTTAAAACATTAATGGTTTATGCCCGTTCTGAGTCCTGCAGCTTCCATAAAACTAGTTATGATTTCAGAATAATTCCTAGTTTACAAAATGTAAAATTGAATTGAATTAACTCATGGCTGAGTCCCTGATATAGCTGATATTAAGCCTTCGTGATGCACTGTAGTTTTCTTTCAATTGGGTTTTCAGTTTTTGTTCCCAAATTCAGAGAAATGCATACCCTTGAAGAATTTCCTAAATGGTATTTGGTTTGTTGATTTTTTAAAAACTTGTGTGCATTTAAGGGTTATAGTTGTAATGAGAGCTTTACCCATGAACATCATGAACTTCTGTATTCAAGAAGCAGGTGGTTACTGGTATTGTTTTCCCCCATTATTAAGTGTAATAGGCACAATGAATTCTAAAGTATAATTTGGGAATGCAACTTTCAAAGATGGCACTTAACTTTTGTGAAAAGTTCTGCCACATAACCATTTCAATTATTCTATCCCTGTGGAAATAGAAAGGAAGCTTACCTGCTCAATATTTTTCAGGTAAACTATAATAGGCATTATGCGAGGTTTTATAGTCTGGTTTGCACTGTTTTAATCTTGACACTTTTCCGTTCACCTTGTATTTATAAACGTTGGGGAAGCAATTCAGTTTACTAAAAAAACATAATTCAATTGAAAGTAAGCCTTTAAAAGCAGTTCTTATTTTTTAAAATATGAGAAGACTTAGCAGGAAAGAATCAACAATTTAAATGTGTGACTTTTTGCTTGGTCTCTTCTTTACTCCAATATTTTCGTTTGTTTGTAAAGCCACTGTACAGTAACAATATGTTTCTCTTATGTAACCAATTTTCAAGTTTGAATAAGTACAATTAATTGAAAAGTGGCTTAGTGGGAAACATGCTATTAAAGTATTTTTTTCAAGTAGAGCCTCACTTCTGAAACTATTACACCCTTTCACTTTTTAAGAATATGGGTACAGTAACCCACAATTCTGAAATACAAATTGAAAATATAAATTGTTCTGTGATAAATGAAACTTGGAACTGAATCAAATTAAATCTAGCTACTATTATAGGCAGAGTCACTAAGACAGATTTGTATTGCCTATACTGCATAATATTGGACTATCCATATTACTGCATTTGTCAAATGCAATATGCTGATGGCTACATAAAAAGTTTTCTTAGTGTATTTATTTGGAGAGGGAATTCGGTCTTTGTTAAACTAATATGTTAATTTAAAAGCCATCCTTGTATTTTTTTTGAAAATCTTTTAACGTCAGATTTGAAAGTCAAACTTGTTGGAAATAGTATGCATACTGATGTGCTCTCCTTGTTAAAAAAATCCTTCAGAGCTTGAATTTGAGGTAAAGTGAACATACTGCCATTTTAGGCAATTTTTGGGAACCGGTGTTGGAAAACCCTACACCATGGATTTCTTTTTCTATTTTAATTGAAAATTATGTCCAATGCTGCTTTTGATTTGAACTGGGTAAAGGGTATGTGAAATGGGCAATTAAGATTTTTTTTAAAGAAAGAAGATAGTCCATTAGTAGCTATAGAAAGAAAAAGAACATTAGGAGTCCAATTTAGACTAAAATGATAACCAACCTTGGATGGCTCAGCACTTAGTTATAGCTGCTGTAGCATTGAATTATATGCTTTTTGTTTGTATTAGGATAACAGCAGTGCAATTATTCATTTGAGCCAACCTCCAAGACTTCAGGATAGGAAAAGTTAAGTTTTGTGACACATCTGTATGCAGATAAAGAGGATTGTGATCTTTTGTATATGGTATTATGAAGCCTTAGGGCAATGTATATTTGAATGCTCACATGTTCAGAAATTTGTTTCCAGAGTTATAACATTAGGATGGAGAATGTGTTTTTTCCTGAGAGTCACTTTATACCACTTTTGGGGGAGATGGATAGGAAAATCTTAACTGGCATGTTGTCTTTAGGATTTAAATTCTATGATTGGAAACTTAATGGGTTCCCCCTCCCCTTAAAGTTAACCAGGAGCTTTGCAATTTGATAGTTCATCATACATGGTTGGCTGTCAGTGGAGTATCAATTTAAGGCTACTTCATTTACCAAGATCCACTTTTGTGTTTATATAATTGCCTCCCAATTTGGATTATCTAAATTTGGAACACTGGGAGCCAATTTTAACATTTTTAAAGCCAATATATTTAGCATGGGTCTTTTCTTACCAAGATATATAAGGGGAAAAGAAGAAATCTTCCTTAGGAATTTCAACAAGTCATAGGAGTTTGACTACATTTTAAGAGTAAAAGAATGTAGGAATACATCTGAATTGGATAAAAATGGAAAAGTTAAGGGTAGCCACTTAAGCATACAAAAGAATAATCCATATAGGGTACCCGAGTGAATGGCTTGCAAAATTGTAAAGTAATTTGATGTGTTAATTTCCTTGCCTTCGGTTTTTTCCCTATAGAGTAAACAATATTAGCTGCTCCAGATGTGTCACTGAAGATAAACATTTCCCTTTACATTATCCAAACTAAAGTATTTTGGAACAACTAGAAAAATGCACACAGATGTGGGATGAAGAGAATCGGACGCATATTTTAGCTAGTTTTCTCCAGTAAGTAATGAATCTGTAGTTGGAGATAACATAGCAATATGAATACTTACAAACAGAACACTAAATTTCATGTTCTTGTTTGACTTTTTGAAAGTGAGAGAAATTGTGTGAATTGTGAAAATTCAGTTGATTTTTCTCTGTATGTTTTTTTTTACTAGTACAGTTGATTTTTTTCCCAATCTCTACCTTATATTTTAACTCCCTGAACTACTATTTGTGCATTTATATACAGATGTTAATTCATTTCAAAAGCTTTGTGCCAGTGAAGGGTGATTGGTGCTTTCAGACATTACCTAGAACATTAATAGCCTTGTAGTTTGAACAGTTATCTTTGTATGTAGGGGGAAGACAGATCTCTTGTAAACATTTGTACTGAATAACCTCTTCTTTCCTCCTGAAAGCAAGGCTAGTGAAGTGCTGAAGACCACAAGGGATTCCAAACTCTAATGGACCTTTGCGAAGAAAACGTTGGCTTATGTGGAATTTACATGGGCCTCATGGAAGAAAGCTTATCTGTTTAGTATTTGTGCATTTTACTAAAATGGCAGCTTAAAAAGTTGTGTATCTGCTATTTGTGATGCCAATGCCCATGTTTTAAAGTGGAAAATTGACCTCTTTGCTTTGTGCTGTGTACACAAGATTTCTGCAAAAGTAAAGGAAAAAAACCCGTTTTTATGGCTCACACAGCTTAAAATAGCTGTCACTCAAAACATGCGCTCACAGTCGAGCTGATTTTGTTTCATTCTAAATAAATTGTTTCTTTTGAGGAAAGTGGTTTTTCTGCCTGGAAATGAATTGACGACAAACCTTTGACCCCTTTGTTTGCAGCTGTGGGGGTACTTTACAACTGCTCCTGCTGCTCCTTCTCCTCGATCTGATAGTTGTGGGTCTCAGACAAGAAACAGGGAAACCTTCGCTTTGATATTGACCATCTTTTATATCAGATCTGAAGAAATCTAGTTTGTTGTGTTGCTGTGTCCTCTTGTGTACGGTGAATGGGGATCAATGGCTGCTATCTCCTCATCTTTACGAGGAAATGGTGCTGTTGCTGGCATGCAAGAAGCAGGGAAAGCATCTTAAGTCTCAGAACAGTGTACAGATCTGGGACTTTGTTGATTTTGAAGAGCTGGAGTTCCTGAATTTTAAGTTCTTGATTTATTTTGTTCACCTAACTTGTTTGGCCTTAGTTCTGATTTTAATTTGAAGAAAGTTTGAAATTGCTTTGCATCTTGCGCATAACCTTTTCACCAAATTGAAAACAAAAAGAAAAAGTAACTCATTAAAAAAAAATTAAATGATAGCGCGTTTCCAGACACAGTTGGAGAGCTCCTCCACCACCAGGGGCTTTTCTTCAGAGTTATGCAGTCCTGGGTGTAGTTCTGAATTGGAAGAAGAGTTCCTGAGAGCTAGAGCGCTGTCATTTAAAACCTGTACAATTGTTATTGGTGCTCTTGACCCGTTTTGAAGCAAATGGTCTACACACCTTGGATGTGCATGCAACCTTGATCGTTTCGTAGGTACCACTGCAAACTAGTTTGTAGTACAGATGATAACAGGAGGAAAAAAAAGTGGTGAAACTTTGAAAAAAAAGTGCCATATTTCCTGCATTTGGGGATCTTGAGCTTTGGAAAGCTGTTCCCACTGTGCAGGAGTACAACTCTTTGCTGCAGGAGACTTCGGGGCACAGTTGACTACACATCACCAGAGGTCAAGAGGAAGCGAACAGTGCTGCACCTGCATCGTGGCTGCAGAAACTGCATTTGTTTCCCAAGTCTCTTAGAATTAACTAGTTGCCATTTGACATGCAGATGGAAGACACCTTGAAATGCAAGCTTGCTCTGGTTGCCTTGAAATTCTTAACCTGTTGTGGATAAAGAACACTAGTGCGGTCCTGTATCCATGCAGAATGATTGCTAGGCAGCAGGTGCTTATCAACCAAGGATGCTACGATTGTGTTCCACAAAATATGGGTTCCCATGGCAAACTGCTGTATAAAACTCTTAAACAGGTAAGGGGGTTTTAAGAGGTCAAAGTGAATTGTAATTATAAGGAACTGGGTTGACTGCTTTTAGGCTTTGCTCATTGTAGCCTTCCAAGTTCTTAAATTATTGGTTCTTACTAACTTTTACAGTAACACCCCCCCCCCCATACAATGAGGTTTAGTACAATTAAGTATTAATTTGAACATCTAATGCCACTTTCATATTGATTCCCGAACTTTTTAAATGATGTAAGAAGTTGTGAGAGCTGAGCATTTATGGTGACATTTCTGTTCAGTAAATTACAGAAGCAACTAAGAGGCTTATATCCAATCAGTAATCTCTAACAAGGTCCGTGCTATCCTTTCTCTGTAAGAAAAGTAATGTAAAATAGGTGGATGTGTATTTCTGGGTACATACATAACAAAACAAATATATGTAGTGATCGGTCCCTTTCCTCTGTACAGTGAAAGACAGTGGAATGTGAAGAGGTCAGTTTTTAGATAATATAATTTTTTTCAATAGTTGATTGAGATATGACTAGAAATACAATCTATATGTTTATGGAATGCTAGAGGATATCAGTAGAGAAGCTACTTGGCAGAAATAGTGATAATTAAATAGTTATAATTCTAAACTTTAGAATTTTTCTCAATTGGTAAGTAACAGGTTCCATTAAGTATCATCCTTTATTGGAAGAAAGCAGCTAATTTTAATAAATAGATGAAAAGGTGATTGTAATTTAAAAAATTGTATTCCTAACAACAGCCTTGCTCCCATCTACTCAGAAGTAATTCATGTAAAATGGAATTTACTGCTTCGTATTCCTCTATAGAATTGCAGATTTTCTAATGAGGGGATGATACAGTTGAGTTAGCAAACTGAAGAAGATTCTTCAGATAATTAAATCAAAATATTTGATGTATTTTCCCTTTTATTGTTCAACCCAGTATATAACTGCAGTGCATTTGGTGCTGGGAAATGCTTTTAATAGCTGTTCCATAATAGTTATTTCTTCACAGGATTTGTCAGCCCCTCTGGACTGATTAGAGGGACATCTTTATCTGAAAGGTAACTGTATTTTTTCCATAAAAATGAAATACTGCTTAGGTTGACTTTGATTATAACAAGAATATGAAAATGGATGTAGCTACGTAATCATTCAAAGCAGACTTGAGAAACTTGTGAAACTGCATTTCCTTAGAGCACTGTCTTAAAATTATACTGTAAAACTAAAGCGGAATACCATAGTTTTAATATTAAACAGCATTTAATATACTAATTTTAGAAAATTCTTACTAATTTCATCAGAGAAGAAAATTATCCCACTAAAATCAATGAAATTGAAAAAAAAATAACTTTGCCTAATACTGTACATAACTTGTACAGTTAAAGACAGCTTTTAGTTGCCAGTCCAAATATTAGGATTATACAGTTTTAAGATTTCAGACAGTGAGTATTTCATTAACCCGGCAAATCTAAATGAAATATTGCCCTCATCAAGACATACTCTGCAATAATACATAATCCTTACATTTCTCCAATTTTCTAGCTGAATAACAAACCTAACTTTGTTTTTCTGATTTGTGTACTGTAATAGATATAGTCTTAAAGAAGATTTTGGAAAATAGCTTTGAATTAAATCCATGTAAAATTCATGTTTCAATATAACTACAAAGATTCTTTGACTACATTTAATGTCATGATAAACCAAGATTTGTAATATGCATGACTTTATGAAGCCTTGGGATTATAATATATTATCTAGGAAAATAGGTTTGTATAGCTTTTAGTTTGATTGTAGTTAGTCACTGAATGCTCTGGTGTTTGCATTAATTATACTGTAACTTGTGTTTTGAATTGGCTTGTTTCAGAAATATTTATAATTGATATTCAGTCAGAATCTCTAGTTCATATAAAATGAGATGCTCTGGTTAGCTAAAGTTAAATGTTTCTACAGGCATTCTTGGGATCATGCAAAAGCAAAGATCTTGGCATTCTGTGATTAATGTACACCATGCAACAATTGACTGTGTCCATAGTCTATTTTTTAGGCTGGCAAATGAAGTTAATTTTTTCTGCACAAATTTAACAATGGAGCTAAGATTTGCCTCCATTATTTTATCCCACATATGCTTCGATTGGGGGGAGGGGAGCCTTCCTGAATGTGACATATAAAAGTTAATTGATCAGGAATTATGGCTGCTAATTGGCAGAAGTTAAATAGGACATCACTAGGAAAATAGGGCTTCAGGCTAAACCAGGAATTCAAAAAGCATTCCAGAAGATAATGGTATCTGTAATGGTTGCTAGAAACTATGCAATTACTGGGATAGTTTCTGCAGTTACTGGGATAGAATCAGGTTTAGTTCAAGGATATTTTTGCATTTTTATAACTTTACAAAGTATTTTCACAAATACTTTGATTCCAGATTAAGCATATTTAGATAAAATCCTTTGAAATCAGTGAATCTTTATTCCTGATTAATTTGCATCAAATTGATTTCATTTATTCTAGTCAAATAATTTAAATTTGGATCTAACTGGAGAATTATTTCCAGTTTAAAGTTGCATTATGTGTAAAGGTTTATCACGCATAATGAAAGTATAGGATTTGATATAGGATAAAGTATTCATAGTGAGGATGCTGTAATCCCACCTATAGGTAGAATTTTTGAAAGGTATGTGAGAAAGCAAGATCCCAAAGATTTCTGCTTTCATAAAAAAAGCCTAGCTGTTATGGCAATGAAAATATGAATAATTTCAAGAGAAGAATGCATAAATGCACAATCTTCAGTGGTTGTAGAGTTGGATTTTTTAGCCTGGATAATTTCTTACGTCATGTGAACCAGACTGATTTGTGCAAAAAGAGAGAAAGGGAAGAAATGAAAGAAAGAAAAAGAAAGAATGCAACTATATAGTTTTACACAATTACATTTGATTTGAGCAGAGAATACATAGCTGTTCATTTAAAGCCAATTACTATTTAGTATAGCAGGTGGGGTTGGAATCAAATTAAAAATATGAAAAGAAGAAAAATCTTTGCTTATATTCCTAAATTAAATTTGCATGCTTCTTGTACAGGTTGAACATTTCAGGCAAATCCCTGGTGTTTTCAAGTACATTACTTACTGTCCCCAGTTACTGTCCCCAGGAGCCTGAATCTTGGTGTTAAGTCTTCAAACAAGGCAAATGGAAATGCCTGCTGCTGCGAGGTTCTGGTGATGACAGACTTTGATTATTAAGGACAGTAATGATTGGGCTCAAAGAATAATAGGGCATACAGGGCAGGCATAGAAGACATGAAGGCTTTACCACTGACAAGACATGCCTGGGTACCAAGACATTCAAGTTCCACTGAATGCATTTTATACCTTTGGGATGTAAAAAGGATTCAGTGATACTTACCAAGATACCTTGCACTGTGTGTTGTGTGTGTTTATTTCTGCTTTCCATCATTAATTATATACTTAATTTTTAGTCATAAAGATATCTTCATTACTGAATGAATCTGAAGTATTTAGGAAAATATATCAGAGGTTGCAGTTTATAAAATTATTTATTAGATTTTTTTTACATTTATTACCTTTTAAGTAACTCAACATACATAATAGTCCTTCCTTTTATTTTTCCCACCATAATAATTCTGTGAGGAGGATTGGGCTGAGAGAATGACTGGCCAAAGTCACTCAGTTGGCTTATATGTAATTCGGTTTTTATTCTTGGCCTTTGGGTCAAGATCTCCTGGCAATATTTTCAGGAATGGTTTGTCCTTCCTTCCTAGTACTGAGAGTGCAGTTGGCCCAATGTTACTCAGTTCCAGGTTTCTCAGCTCCTAGTTCAGCATCTTAACCACCAGATATAACTGGCTGTATGTATTTTCTATTAGCAATTTCATTGTTCATTTTCTGGGTTACAGTTGGTGAACAAAGTACCCTCACAGTTTTTGGAATGGAGAACAGGATTTCAATTTATTTATTTCAACTTAACATATAAAAATAAACAGTAAAGATGGCATATCCCCAGCAAAGGAGTTCAATGACTCTACCCCAGAACCTGGAAAAAGAACCAGATTTTTAAGGCCATCCAGAACAGCATCCACCTTGATCTCAGGCTTATTCTAGTAGGCAGGTGCTGTGACAGAGAAGGCATGCTTCTGGGGTCCTGTTAGATTGCACTACTTAATCAAAGGAATCTGGAATGCCCCAACCCTGTCAGGTTGAAATGCCCAGGCTGATGCCCAGGAATAAGGTAGTTTCTCAAGTAATCCAATCCCCTACCAAATAGATCTAACCAGCATCTGAATTGCACTCAGAAGCAGATTGGAAACCAGTGCAGCTTGCAAAAGTGAGGGACCACTTGGGCAGAAGGGCATATCCATCACTGACTGCACCAGTTGAAGGTTCCAGTGAGCTCTTGAATGGCAGCCGCATGTAAGATGCATTGCACATCAAGCTATGATATGACTATGTCACGAATGACTGTCTAAAGAGCCTTTGAATGTAGGAAATGATGCAACTAGTGTGCCAGATGAAGCTGTTGAAGAGCTTTCGTGGCACAGCTGTCACCTGCGCATTGAGCAGGAGCTGTGCATCCAGGAGAGCCACACATTGCACACCACTACAAATTGGGGAAAATGAATACAGAGTGAATACAAACTAAATACAGAATTAAGAGCATTCTGTTTTTCAGATTAAGTGGTTAAAAGAGCAATGTGGCAGAAAAGATACTGTTTATTCTAATTTTTTAGGTGTCACACCATTACATTATCATTTTAGCCAAATATAGGCATGCTGAGTGTATAAGAAGGGTTTTTTTTAATCTCAGGATAAATGTTTTTTGGGTTGAAAAGGCAGTGTTAACAGCTAATTGACTTAGCTGTTGGAAGTGGAAGACAGCACAAAAATAATTTTGAGGATATATATCTCTAGTTCCTTTTTAAATCTATTCATGGTGCTTTATTACGGTGGATAGTGATATTTTTACTACAAAAATTGAAATCTGGGCTGCAAAAATCTGAACAAGCATCAAAGAGTTAATTATTTTCTTGCTCACTGTGCTGCTGTCTAGTGGTTGTTTGGATAATTGCAGACCGGCTATATTTCTATGCTATGCTGTCAGACAGGACCTAGTGACAGAAGAGATTGGGGGCAGTAGAGTGGCAGCACAATTGAAACATGAAATGCCCTGGACTTAAAAACATCACTGTTTCAGCAGTTTCTGATATCTAATGTTTGTTTATAAGGAAAAAGATCCCCCGAATTAGAAATTCCATTAATATATTGCTACCCACCAAAAATGTTCTCAAATATTTTGGCAAGCTTTTCAGAAAATTCTAAATGACTGGAGCAAAGTGTTGGAGACCATTTAATTCCCAGATTAAATTGGATATTTTTTTCTTGCACCTTTGTCTACTTATGTCAAACACTAAGGGGCTTTTTTTTTTTGCCAGCATGGAACTGAACAATTTTAAAAATATCAATGTTTTTGTCAGGCGTGAAAGACCAGGTTCACACATGAAGAATCAGCTAAATTAATTTATTGCTCAAAGCCTATGCACAGGCTTCAGTTGGTACAGAAGTCAGTCAACACCTGCTTAGAATTAGATAAAGGTCAATGGTACCCAAGGGGAGTTTGGACTTCGTTCTCTTGTGGCTACTACGTAGGGTTTCTAGGCTGTTCCCTCTTTTCACTGTCCCCCCCCTCCCCTCATCCCTTCTACAGTTTTAAAGGCAAATTGCCTTGAAGAAATGTTAAGAATTGATAAGGTTACAGAACATTATATGAATATTTCCATTGATCTATTATGTAAGATACAATATTGAATCTAAAACTTCAAGAAGGCTTCTGATAGCATCCTTTTTTATTTATAAAAATATATATATAGCTGGGTGGTTTACAGTTACATATACAGTTAACGCATAAAAAGTTAAAACCAGACATTAAAACCATCTGGGGAGTGGTGGGGAGGTGGGATCTGTTATTCATTTTGTTTATAGAAGAACCAGGTAATTATTTAGAGTTCAGTACTGGGTTAAGCTGCACTTCAATTAAAATTTAAAAAAAAACCA